TGGGGCAAGGGAGAGGGGGAGGGTATGGGGCAAGGGAGAGGGGGAGGGTATGGGGCAAGGGAGAGGGGGAGGGTATGGGGCAAGGGAGAGGGGGAGGGTATGGGGCAAGGGAGAGGGGGAGGGTATGGGGCAAGGGAGAGGGGGAGGGTATGGGGCAAGGGAGAGGGGGAGGGTATGGGGCAAGGGAGAGGGGGAGGGTATGGGGCAAGGGAGAGGGGGAGGGTATGGGGCAAGGGAGAGGGGGAGGGTATGGGGCAAGGGAGAGGGGGAGGGTATGGGGCAAGGGAGAGGGGGAGGGTATGGGGCAAGGGAGAGGGGGAGGGTATGGGGCAAGGGAGAGGGGGAGGGTATGGGGCAAGGGAGAGGGGGAGGGTATGGGGCAAGGGAGAGGGGGAGGGTATGGGGCAAGGGAGAGGGGGAGGGTATGGGGCAAGGGAGAGGGGGTGGGTATGGGGCAAGGGAGAGGGGGAGGGTATGGGGCAAGGGGGGCAAGGGAGTGGGCGGTGGGTTTGGATCACAAGGATTGGTTTGGTGGGTTGTTTAAAGGGGGGGTGGGGGGGAGGAGGAGGGAGGAGGAGGGACAAATTGGGGGACGGAGGGGGGGTGGGTTGTAGGGGTGAGGGTCAAGAGGATGGGTTTCAGATGTTTTTTTTCTCTATCTCTTGGTCTTTCTTTTCTTTTATGATTGACTTGTTTGTGAGAGAGAGAGAGAGTAAGAGTAAATGAGAATGAATGAGAGTAAATGAGAGAGAGAGATAGTAAGAGTAAATGAGAGAGAATGAGAGTAAATGAGAGAGAGAGAGAGAGAGAATAAATGAGAGAGATTGAGAGAGAGAGAGAGAGAGTAAATGAGAGAGAGAGATGGAGAATAAATGAGAGAGAAAGGGAGAAAGAGAAAGGGGGGAGAAAGAGAGAGAAAGAACGAAAGAGTGAAAAAAATGATGTGCCACACAAACGCAGAAGTACTTGACTTACCATTAACCACAGCTGATAGAAAACAATCTATTGTAAATATCATAAACGTACGAAATATCAGTGGATATTAACCATTAGCGAAAAGAAGTGAGAGAGAGAGAGAGAAAGAGAGAAAGAGAGAGAGGGAGAGAAAGAGTGAAAGAAAGACAGAAAGAAAGGGGGAGGGAGAGAGAAAGAGAAAGAAAAAAAACATTCCTAAGCCTCAACCCAGAGATCGAGACGAGGGATGAAACGAAGGAATAACTCGATGGCCTGACCCTTTTCTCTGAAACTTGTTCTTGCATGCTTCAGTAAGACGAAACTAAATAAATACTCGGGGATTTGGTCAGTCATTGTTTGTGTTTTCCCGAGGAAGACGAAACTGTGTAAAGGTCAGCTGCAGGTGTTCGTTTGAATTGATTGCTGTTTGGGTAGGGAGTGTGGCGACGTGTTCGAATTGCTGCGTGCAATGTTTTTTTTTTTTTTTTAAGGGGGGGGAGGGGTAATATTAGATGGGATTACTTATTATGTTTATTAGTATATATACTATTCTGTATGTACTCGATGTTTATATTCCCTTTTTTTATTCTTATGTGTATATATATGTACCGTACAGTTCCGGAGAAAAGTCTTACGCCATGAAACAATTAAATAAATAAAATGAAAATATAATTCGATATCTGTCTCGAATCTCTAAATAATGTCACCATTGTTGACTCGGTGAGGTTTACGAAGCTTCATTCATGGTTAATGACTTTTGTCCGTGACTGTACATATATTTATTTATGTGTGTGTGAAATACGTATTTTTTCCTTAGCGTAAATAACCTGTGGTCATTGATATTATTTTTCTGAGTAATTGAAGATCTTGTTGAATAGTCATTTCTTTCGTCATAGTATAGTGCAACTCTTAATCCCCCCCCCCCCCCCCATTTCTTTATGCATACTAATTAATTCTTTCTCTCCCTTCTCTCTCTCAACCCCCATATCCTCCTCTCCCTCGTTTATCCCTCTTACATTCCATTCCTTCGTTTACATTTTACACCGTATCCTTTACCCTCTTCTTCACCTTTATCCCTTCTTATTCCTCCTCCCTTCTTTATCATATCCCCTTCCTCTCCCTTGCCCCTTTACTTTCTTCCTTTCCCTTTTTCCCCTTCCCTTCCCCCTCACCCACCTCACCCCCTCCTCCCTCCCTCCACCTCCTTCCTCCCTCCCTCCACCTCCCTCCTCTTCCTCCTTCCCTCCACCTCCTCCTTCCCTCCACCTCCTCCCACCCTCCTTCCATCAATCTTCTCCCTCCTCCCTCCACTTCCCTCCCTCCTTCCTCTCCCTCCACCTCCCTCCTCCCCCTTCCCTTCCCCCCCTCCAGCAGGAGAAGCGCACCTCCCGCGACATCGAGACGGAGACGGAGCCCGAGGAGGTGCTGGCGGTGGAGGCCGGTGGAGGGTCGTCGTGTTCGCTCTCTTCCGTGTCCGCCTCGCTGTCCGACAAGAGCGTCTCCACGGACAACATCGAGGAGATAAAGAGCGACGTGCCGTTCGCGG